TGAGACTACTTTATACACAACATCAAAAATCTTGTTGCATTCTAGGCAAATTTATTGGTATGGATACATTATGATGAGTTGTTATATTTTTAAAATTAAACAATTTCTAAATCTTATTAATTGATTTATAAAATGAAATAAGAGACTTCAATGAAATGTTTAACTTTAAGTTTTACATGTAGGCCCAGGGATACAGGCTAAATAAAATATGTGACAACACTAATTAATCCGATTTTAGTAAAACTGGAAACAGAAGGTTGTGATGGTAGTAGAATAATTACTGACTGACGATTTTGGACAACGGATAACTTGTTGTTCTCAAAAGCAGTCAATATTTGTTCAATTATATATATAATTACATGCACATTGGTAGAGTTTTAATCACACAACAAATAAACGTAAAAACAATGTTATCGAATTTTCAACTCGTATGAGACAAATTGGAAAATTACATTTTCATTGTCACTATCATGAAGGGAACATTTTTTTATGACACCATTACTCCACAAACGCAAAAAATAAACATGCACTTACCCTTCATGAAAGATTGGCACCCCTGGGTGATAACTACAGGTTTGGGAATCACTTTGCTCACCTTCATAAGCCTGAAAAGCACATTAATACAAGCCCAGAACATGCATTTTACAATATACAGCTTTTTTACTAGAAGAAATAATTAGGTATACATTTTGCGATGTACAAGACGAAAACTTAAACTATAAAACCAACTTTTTATTCCAGTGATGAATATTCTGAATGGTTGAGTACACACATATACAAGCGCAACAACAATATGCTACTCTCTAAAGTAGTTAAATTGTAAACTTCCATTTCAAATACTTTTACTGAACTTGGTGTTAAAGCCAGATAAAAGATCTAAATTTCTTTACACTACAAGTGTGATCCCGAATCATCCTACAATTAACAAGTATATCCCATGATTAAAGAAAATCAATAGGTCTTTTTTTTTTTAAGCCTTGTTGAAACCAATACTTACTGGAAGCTTTTAAAGCTTACACGAGATGAGCAAGAATTTGTACAATTGAATTTTCTTATTTTTTAATATTTTATGCTAATTCATAAATTTCAAATTCTAATTAAATAGTGGTCTAAAACCTTAAGCTTAAGTAATAATTTAATACTGTTTGACTGAGAGAATGGTTGATAGTGAAAAAAAATTATTGTGTGTACTTGGTATCCTAAAAGATTAAAATATTTTATGACGTTTTTCATAAAATTAAGTTTAAATATGCAACTTTATTGAATTTTAAGTATATCTAATTCATTGATAATGAAATTACTTTTCATAGTACTAAAAACGTATTTCAATTTTTTGCTGCTACAAATCTCTAATATATTTACATAATTGGGATGTAAGAAACGAAGAAAGATCCTAGTAATATCTTTCCCTGTAATTTTACATTTTACAGCATGAATAATGTTTAAGTATTAACTAAACAATATATTCATATTGGTAAAAAAATTATCAACATTTAAAAGATTAAACATCACAGAAACTTTAACTTACCACTTTGCAACCTCCATTTTTACACTGAGTTCCGATAGATATAACGATGTTCTCATTATCTGAGATGAAAAAATAAACAACATTAACATCTATCATTAAATAAGTATAACACATCTAATATCAGCAAAATTATGTTGTTTAGAAAGATTTTAATAACTTCCATAAGTAAAAAAAAAATAGCATGTTTTTGTGGCTTGATACCATTAATGTTAATGCTTTTTGACTGGGAACTGTTTGGAATAGTCAGTGGCATTTAGGTCCACTGATATCCATCATACAAGCTTAAAAAATACCTGCAAAGTAGAGATTAAATCAAGCACAGACAACAAAGGAGAAATAAACACAAGTGAACAAAGAGACAATCTTTGTTTACACTAAGGTTTGTGAATTTACCAAATCAGTTCTGATTCACAGATTGATGATATTGATGGAGACAAAGCACTTTGCTTTCATGTCTGCACAGTCAATTCTGACTTGCTACTAAAATTCAGACATAAATGTTACAGTGCAGAATACCAGAATTCAATGCTACATATGTATCAAATTATTCCAAGTAATAAAAATAATTGGATAAAAAAACCCAACTTTTACCAGTTTGTACAAATAATTGTATCACCCCTTGAGATGGGCTTGCCTCTCCCCAGGGCCAAAGTGATATAAGTTCCTAGTCATTGGCATACACACTATCCTACCAAAAGTCATGGGACACACCTCTGATTGCAGAAAATGGGTGTAACGATAAAATATGCAAATGGTTTGACCTATAAAGGTGATCAGTGTTTCACTCAGAAGTCATTTCGAACTTTTACACTGAATGATGAGCACACAGAAAGAGCTTATAGAGTTTCAGAGGGGAAGGATAGTTGGATGTCATTTGGGGAAAATGTCTCTCTATGCTATTGTGCAACAATTAAACATTCCCAGGTCAAAAAACGCAACAAATGCAAACTGTCAACTGGCATGGGGCAAGGCACACAAAACCTGGACCATGGATCAATGGAAATAGGTCCTGTTGAGCAACGAGTCACGCCACACACTATTCCAGTCTGACGGACGTGTTTGGGTATGGTGGATGCCTGGAGAATGCTTATTACCTGAATGTGTTGTCCCAACATCGAAGTTTGGAGGTAGCAGTATCATGGTCGGGGGGTGCTTCTTATAGTATGGACTAGATCCATTGGGGGCAGTGCGTGGATCCACGAATGCTGAGTCCTACATTGAAGTTCTGAACAATTCTGTGTGTCCTACATTGCGGCAATTTTATGGTACCAGCCCTTACATCTTCCATTATGATAAAGCTCCATGTCACAAAACAAGGATTGTGAACGTGTGTTTTGAAGAGAATAACATCGGAACATTGCAGTGGCAAGCACAGAGCTCCGACCTCAACCAGATAGAACATCTTTGGGATGAGCTGGAACACAGAATGCAGGCAAGGCCAAGATGGCCCTCTTCAGTAGTGGAGCTTACTGATGCTTCAAAGGATGAGTGTAGCACAATACCACCAGCTTTCTACCAGAAATTAGTAGACAGTCTTCCAGTGTTAAATTTAGTGTAAAAACATCTATATATGATATCTCAAAACTATAAGATTTGAATTATATTATTTATTCTAAGAAATATAAAAACAAAGCTTTAGGATGCCCTCTACATTATACAGATTCAAAGGAAAGAAATCACTGATTAATTATACAACTAAGACTTGTTTTGTCACTGTAGACGTTCAACATCACACAATATAGACAAGATAATGTGATACAAAAATGCCTAGACAAATGTGTGTGTGTGTATGTGTAATATATCACATTTATAAACTTTATTTAAGTGACAATGATACCATTACCTTTTTCTCCTGTTAGTTGTTCATTTCCCTTTTCTTTAAGCTTCTCCAATAAAGGTTTTAGAGAATCACCCACTGTCAAAGGTAGTCTACAAACTGGACTTTCTTCACTTGGTCTCTCCAAAGGTTGTTGGCATTGGGGTTGACAAGCTTTTTGTACTACAGTCTGTGTATATATAAATAAAGAATGTAGATATTATATATAAATCATAAAACTTAGCACTGCTTATAGTATAGAGACCTTGTCTTTGCTCTTAACTTGTATCAAAATGTCCATGGTTTCTTTCATTCATTTTCATATAAAACAGACAAAGCACTACAAAAAGCTTAGTGGTTTTCTAACAGTTTTTTCTTAAAAATATTCACGTTTTTCATAATCAAATGCAGTCACACAAATCATTTTTGATAGTATTGATAAAACATTTTTCAAAATGTAGCATAGATCTTAAACTAATCGACTATACTATAGTTTGAGTCAATATGGATAAAACTTTTTTTACATTTTACAACTTTCTTTTTCAAATTTATTCTTTGAAGGCTATTTGAAATGGATTTTTCTAGAAGCTTTCTTCTTTTATAATGAAACAAATCTTCCTAGTAGTTTTCCGTTTCTTTGTCCTTGATGAGCTACAGTAGTAAAAGTACTAGACATGAGCCAGGGCTCAATTTAGATTGGAAAAGGTGCATAGCAGTTTGTTGTAGTGATTCACAATTAAAGCTTTGTGAAAACAAGTTAAACAATAGTAAATAAAACACAACTGAGAAGAAATATATACCTTATATATTTTAGTAAACTTTACTAAAACATCAATGATTAAGGTAAAGTCAATTTCAACAATATCAGAAGATTCTAAATGATTTTAACTTTTGCTTTTTATATATTTGTGTATCAGGCCACCTTTATGATTTGGAACCATTTATCAACCAGCTTAGATAGAGGCAAATTTTCCAGCGGAGGACCAGATAATGAAATTTGAACACAGTGTTTACAAACAG